AAAAGACATAATTTCATTTCTCTAAGCTGTTAGTTCATGCCATATTTATTATGCTTGACTTCTTACCAGTTTTAAGTTGACATACCACATTCTGTTTCATGACCAGTCCATTTATCAATGTCTTGTGGTTTTTTCTTTCTTAAATATAGATTTGCCTTGAATACTGTTCACATTTTGTGATTGGGTTTTCATTATTGGTAATTTCTCACTGTAGTTCCACAAGGAAGATGATGGGAAGAAATATTATGTCGGTTACTGGGGTTTGCCTTCCTAATGTTAGTCCTATGTCTGTTGTTGTTCATTCATTCAGTCATCTCTGACTCTTCGTGACCTCATGGACCAACCCATGCCAGAGCTCCCTGTCAGCCGTCACCACCCCCAGCTCCTTCAAGGTCAGTCCAGTCACTTCAAGGATGGCATCCATCCATCTTGCCCTTGGTCGGCCCCTCTTCCTTTTACCTTCCACTTTCCCCAGCATCATTGTCTTCTCTAGGCTTTGCTGTCTCCTCATGATGTGGCCAAAGTACTTCAACTTTGTCTCTAGTATCCTTCCCTCCAATGAGCAGTCGGGCTTTATTTCCTGATTGGATCTTCTCGCAGTCCAAGGCACTCCTATGTCTACCAATGCTTTAAAAATGGAAGTAGGATCTAAAGTATTTAGCCTCAAGTAATTTAAATCCAGTACTTAAATTCTAACCAACACACAGTCACACCTTTTCCTGTTCCTGTCAACAATTTTTCTGACATGCAATAGCAAATAGGAGCATAAGAAAGACAAGACAAAGGTGTTTTGTGCTGGTTTTGGTGATGTGCAGCCTACCTGAGATGGAATTGTTGCTTGCCACTGAAGAATGGCAAATATTTGGTGATGATCCTTGACCCATAATATTCTTCTTAGAATTTTTAGAAGAGTCTTTCTCACTTTCTCACTCATTTACCAATTGCAGTCCTATGTAAGGAAACTAGATATGGACCAATTACATTTAAACTGGAGTATGGTGTTGACATTACCATGAGGATAGCAATAAAGGTAATTTGGAAATACTAATGATACAGATTCACAGATCAGTACTGGATGCAGCAAGGTGGTCAGTACACATTACACTGATCTGATAAAAGTCTGGAATTCCTTTAAAAGTTCAGTTGCACTCATTGGCATTGATCATTTGCTGGCTCATTGGTCTGTTTTAGCAAACATTAGACTGTCAGATATACTAAATACTAGGCCTGGGTAACAACGGAAAAATTTGTTTCTAAAATCGATTCGTTTTTTGGGGGCTTTTGCGTTTCGTTATTTAAAATAATTACAAAATTTTCCTTTTAAAAAGTTCGATATTTACGAAATTTCGTAAATGTGAAAAAAAATACAAAACATTAACGAATCGATTTCCGAAACAATAACGAATCGATTCGTTAATGGCGGACGCGACCGCGAAATACGCTAAAAAACCTCCAAAAACTTCTGAAGCTTCCCTCTCCCTCTGTTGTTGACTGTTGGTGTGATATTATAATTTTTTTTCACTAATTAAACAAAAAACTTGCCCCAGACATGCGGAAATAATAACGAAACGACCTCAGAACAATAACGAAACGAATACAATAACGAAATACGAAGCATTTACAAAACGTGTTTAAAAATTCGTTTTTTTTTAAAAATTGCTCCAGAATGGTTCGTTATCGTTTTGTAATTGAAAAAAAATAACGAATTATTAACGAATTACGAATTAACGAAACGAAACCGCCCAGCCCTACTAAATACCATTTCACACTACATAATTATAGCACAATGATTCTGCTTTAACTGTCATAACTCCATCCTATGGAATCCTGGGAGTTGCAGTTTAGGGATAGATAATCAGATATCTCAGGCAACACTCCAGAGTAGGCTTGGGCGATCAAGAAAAAAAATGGTTCTAAACTCGTTTCGTATATAGGGGGTGCTGGCGATTCGATTTTTAAATGATTTCTGAAATTTTCTTGAATTAAAGATCGGAAATAGCAGGAAATCCAAATCGCTTCATTTGCTTCGTTAATGGAAGGTGCCCCTCCCTCCCTCCAGAACCATTAAGTATTACTTTGACAAAGTCAGCCTAAACAAACAGTTTTAAAATCTCACAGTTCCCCTTCCCTGTTAGTTTTAAAATCTCACAGTTTCCCTTCCCTGGTGGCAAGCTGCCATGCAGAGGGACGAGGTGGGTGTGGCTAAGCACAGCTCTTCTTGAAGGTCGCTGGGGGCGTGGCCTTCAGGAAGAGCTGTTCTTAGCCACGCCCACCTCATCCCTCTGCATCACCCTACACCGCCAGCCAGGGAAGGGAAACTGCGAGATTTTAAATCATGGCCTTCAAGAAGGGAAACTGCGAGGCTTTGCCAAAGTTGCTTAATTGTTCTAAAAATCAAAATAACTGTGGGAGACATCCGAAAATAACTCCAACAATGGGTAAGTGGTTCAAATTCAGAATTACTCCTCCCACTATTCCTGCATGGCTCAAAATTGGTTCAAAGGGGATTTCTTTCTGAATTAATTACGATTTTAGACGCTTACGAATGAACTTGCCCAAGCCTACTCCAGAGTATCAGTGAGCTACAAATCCCAGAATTCCATAGCACTGGATGTGGAATGTCAGTTCTATCATTGAGTAGTGTGAAAAGGTCCTCAGTGGTTGCTCTGCAATTATGGAATTTTTCCCCTGGAATGTCTCAGCGACAGTCATTCTTCCCATTCTCCCCAGGCTTTGTAATTCAGGCAAGCATATAATATGTGAACATTGTGAGGTATATATTTCAGATTTCAATATTAATGTCAAAAAAGGCATTGTATGACTTTACATAGGAAGTGGGGCCACTGTATTAACACTTCATTTCTTTCCTGATTATACTGTTAGCAAATAGTTTAATTTATTTTCTACAATGCTGAAGAGAATTAGAGCAAATTAATAAGTGAGATAACACTTTTATAAAGGTACTGGTTGTGGGCATTTATGGCAATTAGAAAATATGATTTTTCAGTAAATGTTTTCTTGGAGGAAAATCAATGGACAGCAGAACTCTGGAGATCTCATAGCTAGGATCTGTGTCAGCAAAGTATTAGAGGAGCTATCTAAGGTTATGAACCTACTTTAGGCAAAGGATTCAGCATCTTTAATAATGTTAGAAGTCCAGAGTAAAACAAGGAGCCGATTCACCACTTGTCTAACAAGGGAATTCTAACCTGCAAGTACTTGCTAGTTTTTAATATTTGCCACACTGTCCATCTTAGTTCCTTTCTGCTGAAGTAAAAGACAAGTGAAAGTGCTTAACTTTGTCTCAGTGATGCACAGGCCCAGTGGGTTGTCAGCCTTTGCTTTCACTCTGACAAGTTTCAGTTCACTGTATGTTTTGCAACATAGCTGTGATCAATAACCTCCCTCTACTCTTCTATTCTCTGCTTAATTGAAGCAGACACTCCTTTTGTCTCCTGGCCAATAAATGAAAACTCAAGAAAAATGTAATCCCTTTCCAGTAGTTCACTGTCAATTTGATCCAACCTGAAAAACAAAATGTTCTGTATTATTTATGATGTGTGTGTGTATTGAGTTTGTGCAATACTGTAGTGTCTTCAAGATCCACCAATGAAGACATTGAGAAGTTTTAAGTATATCTTCCCAGCATATGTATTCTTCAACTTTTTCGTGACACAAACTAAGATGTTATCGCAGGCTTAGAGGATTTGCTCTGATGAAATCTGAAAGGTTGCAGTTTTGACATTGTGACAACCCTGTCAATTAGCGGGCAGACAGTTGATTTTTCTTAACATTTCTCATTGCTTTTTCCTGCCTTCTTTTTCTCAGGCTAAGGAGGTTTTGAGATTTCTTCTGTTTTATCTTTTTGACTTAACAGGTGTGACAGGTTAACATGTTGTTACTTCAGCCATTTCTTATTACAGCTTGGAAGTCCTTCTTACAACAGAAGATTGTCTCACTATAAGAGTGTTTCCTCAATAAATAGTACCTAATGATGTGCACAAATGTGAGACTCACCTCCATGAGAGTAATGCCCATCCTTGGTTGCCTTGCCCCTACAGCTATTTCTTTTCTTTTGAATTATGGCCATGATGTATTCAGTTGCCAGCTACCTCTAACGGAATACTCAATCGGAAGTGTCACCAGGGGAGATTAAGAGGAAAGGAAGCTGCATGAAATGGTTGTAGGTAGATCTGGAAGAGGAAATGAGATGAAAATTGGTACTTGATACAGCACCAACATGACCATAAAGCTTGTCATTGTGATGTAGCAACTGTCTATAAGACATCAATCTCCTTCACCAGGACCCCTCTCATACTGCACAAACACGATGATTCCTCTTTATTTGTTATGGCAGCATTGTGCAATCCCTGGACTGACATTTTAGGGAATGGAATTCAGAATTCTCAGCCAGAAAGCTCCAGTGCCTCAACAGATTAAAATCTTAAGAATTCCAGAAGATGTTGTCATGGCAGTTAACATGGAATATAATTGGGTCATTTGAAAGGTTCACAGGAAGCATAGAGTCCCTGAATCTCCCACTGGATAATGGAAACAGATTCTGCTCTGTCCAGCCATGCTGATACTCACCAGCCTCTCTGACTGTGTTGGACATATGGATCAACACTGAGTATTTCAGCGCAAATCATAGTGGATTGCTATCATTATGCTGCTGTCAGCTCATGTTATGAGAAGTGTCTTCTAGGTTGGATATATTTTGTTGCACTATAACACCACAGCAAAACAAGACAGATCCCCGAATTCAGTAAAAAAAAAACCACAACTATTTGTGTACTACGTATGTTCAAGTTAACTAGCATGGTTCTTCATATTCTTGGTCAGATTTTTTTTCCTAAGAGGACACCTCATAAAAACAATGAAATATGGCATAAATTGTGTCTATGCTTATATTTACTGTCATCCTGAAAATGTTGAAATTTAGGAAAATAAGATTGTTGACTGACTATTAAGATACCGTATTTTCTTGATTTTTATTTTAGTTGTACAGCTCTGTAGAATTTGGAAGAAGATGGCTGCTCCTCCAGGAAACTGTAACGCCAAACAGATTCTACTGGTAAGAGGCAAGCAATTTGATATTCTGTGCTAGAACTTTTTAGACTGTACAAATCTGACAGTCAGTTTATATCTGGGGCTGGTACAATGTCATCAGTATTTCCAGTAAAAACACAGTTGTTAAAGGTCTCTCTTCTCTCTTCTCTGGGTTGCTGCGAGTGCTGTCCATTGCTGGTATTTATCATAGCTTTTGTCCTCCTTGTAGTCGCAGTAACTTTAGTCATTGTTGCTTTTGTTTTCGCCAGCATAATGTCTGTAGTCATGTCTGTGTTATTAGTGTTCATTCTATTGCAAAATGAGTTTGGTGTTGCACTCATTTCCCCATTTTTGCTTATCTGACCATCTTGGACCTGTCTGTGAAAAGTAGTCTTGGTTTGGTGCGTCCTCCTGATTTATGCCCTTGCAGCTTAATATTGGATTTAGCTGTTTCATTCCAGTTTGTTTCCTTGAAAACAGTGGTCTAAAACAAACGTCCTTGTAATAGCGTACAGGGAAAATTCCCAAGGTGCTTAGGAATGCCTTCTTTTGGAATTCTCACATCAGAACAACATATTTTATGTGTGGCCAAGACCCAAAAATAACATATAAAATAGCTCTGTACTTAAGCAAAACAATATGTTTGAGAACCACATATTTAGGGCTGATTGGGGTAAATTGTAGGGGTGATAATGAAATATGATGTATATACTCAGCTTGATCAGTTTATCAGTTTTATCATGTCTTATCATATGTATTTACTGTGTTATTATAAGAGTCTTATTTTAACTTTCTACGTGGAGTGTGATCAGGTCTTGTCAGGCCTTGTTGTTCTTTTTCTTATTGTGATATGGCCTAAGGGCTAATCAATAAAATTACTACTACTACTACTAAAAGACTGTACAAATCTGTTTCAGAATACTATCTTGACTGCAATATGTTCAGTTCTCCTTGAAGCAGTATGTTTCTTTTAAAAATACCTTATTCAATCTTTCCTTGTACTCCTAGGATTTTGTATATCCCCTAATTTTGTATCTACCCATTCAAACCCTCACACTTATTCTGTGCATGTGTGTTTAGTTATCTTTCACCCTTGCTACAAGTTTATTTTCCCTCTATTTCACATAGTATTTCCTTAAAATTGTAGATGATGAAAGTTAAGGCTCGTTTGAAACTAGATTTTTCTTAGCAGAATAAAACACTGGATGAAATTACCTTTTTGAATCCAAATCCCAGCCAATAGGCTGATAGCTATTCTGAGAGATGTACTGCATACACTCTTGTATAAATTGACTTCATGTATAAGTTGATAACAGGTTTGGGGGCAAAAAATATGAATGTTCATATGACTCATAGATAAGCCAACAGTTACTTTGCAGAGAGGGGAAATCACAAAGGTTGCGTTAAAGACCAGCTGCCATTTCCCCATCCAGGCATTCAGAAGATCCAGAAATGGTGCCATGACAGAAAGAGTAGAGAGGATTGGTGTGTCTTTTAGGTTCTTCCGGGACAGACAAAGCTCTTTCCTTTCACCACTCTACTCAAAGAAGGAAATGGTTCCTTCCACTATGTGAGTTAAGGGACAATACTCACATTGACCCTTGCATATTTGATCCAGTTTCTTTGGGGGGGGAGGGGGGGTTGACTAAAATTTCTAGACTTATTCATGAGTTTATAGGGTCCTCGAAAAATATTTTCCCCCAAGCTCTGGGCATAACTATACAGAACAGACATTTAAATAGAGAACAGTTTGCTGCCAAGTTGTTAAAACCAAGCTTTATATATCTGGGGACATCCCTGTGCTGCTTAAGAACAAAGAAAAAGTATCTTTAGAACAGCTTTGTGCATTTCTTACGAATGCTGTAGATGGTTAGCAAGATCAAAACTACTGTATATTTCCAAAATATCAAGCTGTATAGCTTAACTGCTATTTGACCCAGGCCATTACCTTGACTAAATTATCCCCTAGGCATCTTGTGGCTTATGAATACATGCATGTCACTGAACTGCTGTGGAGAAACCTGCTCATAATACCACTATGAAAGCCATTGTCTTATCCCTGCTGGATTATTTTATTGTTCTGTTTTTATTTGTGATGGGGGTTTTCTTGCAGAAATCTGAATCAAAATATTTTTCCCCACAATTTTCAACTTCTGTTATATTGCTGCCTCCAATACATACAGGATTGGAGGGGGACACACACGCACATTAAGGCAGTCTTCCGATACCCCCTGCAAAGCTTAAACATCTCACTTAGAGACAATTTGGCACTCTATAGGTGATAGAAATTCTGTGCTACTGTCTCCTCTATTTCATTAGGAATGAGTCATTAGCATGAAAGGAGATTTTTTTTAAAGGGCTTATCTTTGCATGGTTCTACCTGCAGCTATCAATCAATTGGAAAGGATTGTAAAGGCCCTTTAGGGAAGGAAATAGCAGTTGGAAAACGAATAAACATAAAATTATAGAAGAGGAGGCATTCACCATCTCCCCAGGAAGAGTACCTCACAGTTCTTTCTTCTAGAGTGGAAGACAAAGAAACAAGCCTCCTTAGGAAATAGGTGGTCCCATTATAAGGGAACAGTCCTACATTGCCAGCTTTGATTTACAACAAACCTATGAATGAGAGACCTCCAAGTTACCCAATTACTCTGCCTAGGTCTTGCATAATCCTGTAGCTATAGCTCCCTTGACTCAGTCTATTCAACTTTGATGTGCTCATCCTCTTTTCCTGCTGTCTTCATTCTTACCACACATTGTCTTTTCTAATGAGCCATGTTTTTTTCATGATACAGCAGGGTCTCGCTTATCCAACCTTCACTCATCCAACATTAACCAATGCAGTCTACCTCCCACCTGGATCCACAGCTGTTTCAATCCATTATGATGTTTGGGTGCTAAATTCATAAATACCATAATTACTACATAATGTTGCCATGTATTGAACTGCCTTTTCTGCCAATTTGTTGTAAGACATGATGTTTTGATGCTTAATTTGTAAAATCATAATGTAATTTGACATTTAATGGGCTTTCCCTTAATCCCTCCTTATTATCCAACATTTTCGCTTATCCAACTGGCCCATTTATATTGGATAAGCGAGACTCTACTGTATGTCCAAATACTCTATAATAATATATGCACAAGTTAATAGACAAAACCACCCTCCTCCTTGCTGTGTTAAGAAGAGCAGTGGCCTCCCTACATTTTGAGACCCAGTGCCTAAACTGCAATGAAGTACGTAATATGTGTATGTATTTTAGTTGCTTTGTTTTTATGTCATAGTTTTGCTTCTTGATGAATATTTGGTCTGTGTTTATTATTGCCCACTACTGTTGGCACCCTTTGGGCAATAACACGCTTTAAAGAAATAAATGAACACATTTAAATTACCAGATACACATCTACCTGCTTAGGTTGCATGCCTAAGTTTCATTGGGCAAGAAGCTGTCTTTAGCCTGCCCGAGGCATGTCTGTATTCAAAAACAACTTCATGTGACAGATCTGCCTTGGATGAACTCCAATCCACATCTTGCACACATGCATTTATATCATGCCTTGGGCTTTTCTGTAGCTCAAAAGAGCCATAGCTAATCCATTCTGTCCTTTAAGGCACATTTGCACCCTTGGATAATGGGTAGAATTGGCAAGGTTTTTGAATATTCGTGGGAGAAAGAACAATACACATGTGCTAAAATTTCACACCTTATGCTGGAAATATTTGGAGATAATTATTGCTTTACTGCTAATGAAGTTTTTATTTTGAATTCATACTTGCTGTCAGGATTCTCTAAATCAGGCATGGGCAAATTTCAGGCCTCCAGGTGTTTTGGACTTCAACTCCCTGAAATCTCAGCCAGCTTACCAGCTGTTAGGAATCATGGGAGTTGAAATCCAAAACACCTGGAGGGCCAAAGTTTGCCCATGTCTCCTCTAGATTATAAAAAAAACTCTGTGTATGTCATTCATAAAAAGTTATTGTATACAATGTACACTGCTGGCTCCAAAGGAAATTAAATATCACCTTGACAAATGGGATAACAGACAGAGGCTGGAATCTATGTTTTACACATCTGTAAATTACCCTACAAAAGGAATTGACTATATTTGCCTGATACAGATTGCCTACAGTTCGTTTAAAATTCTAGGGGCTGACTTGCATGTGAACTACCATTGCACATGTGAATTATGCATATAAATGTGCATTGTACATGTATGTGCAAATAGGCATTCTATTGCACAATGTTGAAATTCACTATGAGGTGACATTACATGGCCACTATGTAACTTTGTAAATGTAAAATTACTCTCCATCTTCTTCATGTAGGATCTTGGCATAGAAACAGGCACAAGAAATGTGAAAGTGGTTGTAGAAATGAGTATTTTTTTTAAAAAAACTATATATAAAATATGCATATGTGATAGATCTACCTTTTAGTCGGCTAGGCCGAAGCCTGCATAGCAGTGTCTGGCATCTTGGTTTTCAAGCAGAGCAGGAGGAGGAGTCAGGCTGACTCCTGATTGGGTGTAGCAATTGGGGGAGGAGTCAGCTTAGAGAGGGAAAGAGCTGTCGAGTTTTGACAGAGAGGGAGAGAAGGGATTTTTAACAGTGAAGAGGGTAGATGGATTTTTAGGCTGGGAGCTGAGGAGAATTTAGACAGGAGAAAGTGAGCTTTTGGGAGTGAGTCTTTTAGTCAGAGAGAATAAGATAGGGACAAAAGGCTTGAAGTTTACTGTACAGAGTGTCAGTAAAGAAGACTTGTTCACTTGATGCTTATTGCTCTGAGGAGAGTATTAGTTGAGGACTAATTACTCTGTGAGACAGGAGAGTCTGTTCTCAGTGATTATACTGTTTCAAAAGGAAGTTGAACAGTATAGTTAAAAGAGACTCACAGAAATCCAAAGCTACATTCTTAGGGAAAACTGTCTAAACAGCTAAGCCTATGTAACTGAATTACGCTTTATGTGCCACTCATTTCCAACGAGTTGTTGTTAACATCAAGTTTAAAATAAACTCTTTCTTAG